TAATCTTTTGATTTAGAATTTAAAATATTTAGGTTATATTTAGTTAATTTCCTTCTTGATTAAACCATTAATTTTGTGAGTGTAAGACTTAGGTTCTTTATGTTTGAGTTTGATTTCGATTCTTGCCTTGACCATGCCTTTGCTTATTATCTCGTGTTCATCACTGTTCATTTCCATCATGCATCTTTTATCATATTACATCTCTTTTCTTGATATGTGGTTGGTTACTTCCTTACTTTAGTCTCGATTTCTCTTGTTGATTCATCTTGATGCTTGTGTATACATCTTGATTATTTGTTTGCTTGTTGCCTCGCATGTTCCCTTAGGATCCCCTAACTCGACTTAATTTTTGATTAAGCTCGAAGTAGGATGGATTTAGGATTCTTAATCTTTGCATGACAACATTAGGTTAGCATTTTCCCTTTAATCTGACTCTAAAGAAGGATCCCTTTGTTGACTGCCATGTCATTTAGTTTTGTCTTGTCCATCCTTACCCTGAGACCTTGTGAGAGTCTTGTCTGTTATAACCTAGTTTAGGTGGAGAGTTGGTTAACTCTATGTAAGTATCATGGTTATGAATACTTACTTCCCCTTGGAACCTTGACCACAGTCAAAAGTTCCTCACCCCTTCAGCCAAACTACGGAGGTTCTAATTCCTCATTCCTAGTTAGGATACATAGGCACAATATGCGATATCTTGTCGAGCCCTCTAACCACTAACAACTAGTACTTACCCTCCTTTTGATCTGGTTAGAACCAATTGGTCTTATAACTTAAAATTAGGTGTAGAGTTGATAAACTAATAGCTTGATATCCGATTCTCACCGAAATAATCTGTCAATATGCTACTTTTTAATGGCTTTTTGTGTGGCATATAGGATGTCATACTCTGATAAAAGCATTTACCAACGGGAAATCCTTCCGGTAAGAGCTACTTTTTTAAACGTGTATTTTATTGGATTTCATCTTTGATATTAACTAGGTTGTATGAGTCAACATGTATTATCTTAGGCATCGAGCAACCCATGCTAGTGCGTAACAATTTTTCTCGAGCACCGAGTATCTAGTTTCACAGTCGGTAAACTTCTTACTCAAGTAGTAAATAACATGTTCTTTTTTGCCCGTCTCGTCATGATGCCTAAGCACACATCCCATTGATTCATCAAGAAATTTCAAGTACATGATAAGGGGTCTCCCTGGAACATGGGGTATCAAGATCAGTGGCTTTTGCAAGTAATGTTTGACTTTTTTCGAATTCCCTTTGATGATCTTCATTCCACTCTACGGCTTGGTCTTTTCGTAATAGTTTGAAAATTGGTTCAAAAGCGGCAGTAAGGTGTGAGATGAATCTAGCAATATATTTCAACCTTCCCAAGAATCCATGAAACATTTGTTCTATGCTTGGTGCTGGCATGTTCTGTATTGCTCTTACCTTGTCAAGATCGACTTCGTATCCTCATTGGCTGACTATGAACCCCAAACATTTTTGATATCTAACACAAAAGGTGCACTTAGTAGGATTCAACTGCAGCATAAACTTTCTCAAGCGTGTGACAACTTTTGCAAGTGAATAATGTGATCCTCCTTAGTCTAAGATTTGACAATCATATCATCGACATAGACTTCTATTTCTTTATGGAACATGTCGTGAAAGAGATTCTCCATCACTCTTTGATAAGTTTCCTCATCATTCTATAAGCCAAAAGGCATCATCTTGTAATAGAAAGTGCCTTAGAGGGTTATAAATATGGTTATCTCCATGTATTTTAGAGCGATTTTGATATGGTTGTAACCGGAGAAAATATCCATGAAAGAAGCAATGTTATCCACCAATACATCAATATGAGTTAGAAGGAAATCATCCTTTGGGTTCACCTTGTTTAAGTCTTGGTAATCAACACACATCTGCACATTTCCATCTTTCTTCAAGACTGGCACAATGGTAGCAACCCACATGTCCAGTCTAGTTCTTCATAGCTTCGATTTTACCGATGCATATTCTGCCTTTAGTGACAGCTTGTGCTCGACTATATTTGTGTCTAGTTTTGACATATCTTGGTATGACCAAGCAAACACCCACATATTTGTGCAAGATTTTGACCAACTTCCCTTTTTCACTTTCTTTCAAGGAAGCACCAACTTTAACCTCTTTATTGTCCTCTTAGGTTCCCAGGTTAATTACTTCCACTGATTCCTAATGCAGTTGAATCACCTTGGACTCCTGCTTTAGTAGTCTGGCTAACTCGTCAGGGAGTTCACAATCTTCCTCACTCTCCTCTTCATAATGGTATTATTTAATTATTATATTTATAAATTGTGAAATATTCACATGTCATGGGCTTAAATAAGTTCAATAAAAATAATAATATTTCCAATGTGAAAATTATATTTATTAACAATAAGGATATTATGGTCAAATTTCTTAAATACATGTGGGCTTCTAGGTCATGAACATGTGACTACATATATCAAGTTGTCAAATTGTACAACTAGTGAAATATTTTTTTACCTCAATAATCTTATTGTTGGCCCAGTGAGAATAAATGGCGATTTTACATTGGCTTTCTTAATGCACCCTATGGATTACTAGCACACTTCATAAAAATACAATAATACCCTTAGATACCGAAGATGCATCTCCGAATGCACTTCATCTACACATAATCCATTCACTTTTTGAACCACGCCCCAATTTTATGTATAAATTTAGTTTAGAAATGCATTTTCAGAAAGTTTCCAAAAATGTATTTCTGAAACCTACTGATTACATTTCTGGAAAAAGGGGTGTCTCACAATCGTGTATCGTAGTGGGTTTCTTATGTATTCTTCCATTTACATTCACAAATTACCAAGGATTGTAGTGTGAGTTTGTACAACCTTAAAACCATTGAGAAAAGGTCACAAATTGTGCAAATATTCCAGAGTAAGAAACTTCAAATTAAACTTGGGGATTTGGTTGTCATGGTCCATTAGCAATTCCAACTTTCTACGACGACGAATCATTTAAACTCCCATAGGGAAAAAATTGAGACTAGGAAGTTGTGTTTCATGAAATATAGACTCAAAATTAACAGATAAAAATTCAAGTGAATTCAACTTTGAAATTTCTTTATCTGGAATTGAGATTGTTGTGATGCAATAACAATTTTCTTAAGACCGACCAAGTTTCTTATCTTTAGTAGGTTCCAGAGATGTATTTTCAAAGAGTCTTCGAAAATGTATTTTCAAAATAAATTTCGTAGAATCGGGATGTGACTAAAAAATAAATGAATTGTATATGTATAAGGTGCATCCAAAGATACATTTCTGAAATCAAAAGAAATTTTTTTATTTTCATAGGGTGCTTTTTCACCCTATATGATGAGATAAGAAACTCCCTTGTACATTTGCAACAAATCCATATTGTTTATGGAAAAACGGATCCTATTTGTCGATCATACATGTTTTGTTAGCATTTTTGTGTTTGAGAGAATCAATGTTTTAGATCTACAACCTTTAATATATATGCAATCAATGTTTTAGATGTGCAACTTCTATAATATAATTATATATATATATATATATATATATATATATATATATATATATATATATATATATATATATATATATATATATATATATATATATATATATATATATATATATATATATATATATATATATATATATATATATATATATATATATATATATATATATATATATATATATATATATATATATATATATATATATATATATATATATATATATATATATATATATATATATATTAGAATCAATGTTTTGTTAACATTTTTTGTAGCCATATATTATGTCATGTTGTCTTATCATGTAAGCTTCTTACAGTTGAAACCCTTTTAATTTTGGTTAATTGATATGAGGGTGAAAGTTAACATGGTGAACCAAATTTATTGGTATATTATGGTGAACTTAAAAAAGCATCATTGATTTAATAATAAAAAATTCTAATAGCCATTATTGATTATGGGTAACCTATTATTGAAGTCACATGTAACAAATAAACATTTATATTTATACCTTAACATATATTTCTAATTAGACCCCAATATTTATCAAAAAACACAAACAAGACCTAATAATTATCATAAATTGTAATTATATATATATATATATATATATATATATATATATATATATATATATATATATATATATATATATATATATATATATATATATATATATATATATATATATATATATATATATATATATATATATATATATATATATATATATATAAACACGTAGGTGTTGATTAAATATTTTAAATGTTATGATATTTTATTGACTAAAATTTTTTTTTCTCTATTGCATCATTGAACTGTATCCTTATGATGAATGTGGTAGTTTATGATAGAAATTTATGTGATCTAGACTTCAAGACTAACACATATTAAAAATTTAGATCGGAGAAATTTCTATTTTAAACTACTATATGTCACAAGGACACAATTCAAGATACTATATTGGTCAGCAAAATACCATAACATTTAAATTATTTAATTAACAAAATACACGAGCGCGCGCATATATATACATAATCTTTTAGTTTTTAAAATTTTAATTATAATTGATGATAATTATTGGGTCTACTTTATAATATCTGAGATAAATATTAGAGTCTAGTTAAAAATATATGTTAGGGTATAAATATAAATATTTATTTTTTACATGTCACTTGAATATTAGGCCACCCATAATCAATCATAACCTTTAGTTAGAATTGTTTATTATTAAATCAATTGTAATTTTTGATGAAAAACCAAATAATTTGGTTCATCACATTAACCTTCACATGGAAACATATATATATACAATGTTATTTTACATACCAACTATTGCTTGAAAGAAATATTTAACAAATATCCCACTTGTTTAAAACCATTGTGGGAAGTAACATTGGATACTTGTAAACTATGACATTCTTGATCTATATCCTATATCTTAATTACCAATATTACAAGGCCTTCTTAAAACCTCTTCCTCCATTTTGCTAGCCTTGACAAGAAGATTAGTACTTCTGATGGGTCACGCAAAGAGTACAAAGCACATGTTTCTCTTGGAGTTGATGACACTATAATTGGATAACCTTGCCCTCTACTTCGTATAACCTGCAAAAATTCGAGGAAATTAAGCCATAACTATGATTCAAGTTATGGTAACATGCATGGTAGAGTAAAGAAGAGAACTAAGTAAGCATTTACCTCAAAAGCATCTTCATCAGTTTTATCATCCCCAATATACAAAGGAAGAAAATTGTTGGAATTGCTTAATCCCAATGAGTCTAAAAAATATTCTATAGCATTTCCTTTGTTCCATTTTATTGATGGCCTTATTTCCATAACCTATAAAAAAAAAACATTTCAGTCCCAAAGGAGAAAGAAATTATGAACTTCATAATGATCTAGAATATACCTTTTTACCCTCCGTCATGCAAAACAATGGATATTTTTCAAGAACAGACTTTACTTTCTCTTCCAAAACATTATAGTCCTGGACTCAATCATAATAATTACCATTAAATATAGAAAATATTTGGAGAACAACAATGCTTATTATTAGAAGTTAAATGTTACCTTTTCATGAACCTGCCGAAAATGTACAGAGATACAGAATTGGTTGTCTTCTATAGTTGCACCTTCTATGCTCTTTATTGCACTCTCTAATCTTTTTAATATCTGTTTGCATAATTAGCCAAACACTCAATTTTTCAACTTTAGGTCTGGATAATTTATTATTTAAATAATTTAGTGACGTGGGAATCACTTAACAAAGTGTTTTTTTCTACATGATTAGCACGTCACTAAGGACATTTTCTTGTAGTGTCTAATATATTAAAAAAAATAAAACTAATAAAACGCAGCGTCAGAACCTCTTGAATTGCAGGCAAAAATTTCTTGGCAGGTTGAAAGGGAACTCCATTGCCCTAAAAATTAACATAAAGAATGATTCAAGTTATAAGAGTAAACATTTGAAAATATCAAAGGTTTCATTCAAGTACACTTGAACATTACTCACATTTGTGTGAAGAGTAGTGATGTCACATTGGTTAATTGGCACTGATGGTGCCATTATGTCCATACCATGACTTCCAGCATAATATAAATTATTTAACTTCACAAAATCTTTTACCTAAAAAAAAAGTTATATATATTATGAATTTTATATAAAAAATGAAGGAAAATGCATTTATAAGAACTCACTTTTTCTCTGCCTCTTCCACTAATTATTGCTGTTGGAAAATAAGTAGCAACTTCAGATACTGCTGCACGCATCTGCAACATTAGTTAAATAATTAATATATCTGATTTATTATACATGAGCGTTAAGATATTAATTATTACCTCGTCAGACATGAAAGCACTATCAGGATCATTTACAATGGGTGATAAGGTACCGTCGTAATCTAAAAATATGACGATCCTTTTCTCGTTGACACCTTTCATCAATCTATCAAATAATCTCAATGCTGAAGGATGTGTTTCCAGCCATGAATCATAGCGAGAGTGAATGAATTTGGCATTATTTGTGGTTAAAGTATGATGAGTCAAGTTGAGTGCCTTTGGAATTAAAGAGTGATGTTGTTCATGAGCGTTGTTTGAGTCATCTTTTGACTTCTTAGTATTGTGTGTTGTTTGAAATCCCATTCTCTCTCGTAGCTTTATCAGCTTCTTTTTTATAATCTGTAGAAAGAAAAATATCACATGAAAATAATGAACTTAAAATATGTTAAGTTTGTGTCAATTGAATTATAGAAACATGTAATTTCTGATTTATTGTACCTTGAAAGTCACAAGTAGGAAAAGCATATGTTTCATCTTTAATTGGAATCTCTGATAATGAGTCCTGTTATTGTAATTTCAAATGATCAAAGAGTTTATAAATATCATACAAATTATATGACTAATTATAACCCATCTCTATTTTCGTCCGGCTCGCATTAACCACATTAGGGTTTAGGGATATTCTTGTAAACTAAAGAATAATATTTTCTTTAGTTCTATTTATAAAAAAAAAAAATTAAATTTATTAAATAAATAATATATCTAAACCAAATACATTAACTATTGAATAAATTTAAAAAAGAAAACATTTTCTTATAAATAGCATCATATAGTATTATATTTTATGACATATAATTAAAATAAATATCAATGACTTAAATTAATTAAAATTTCTTTTTTCTATTAACTGATTTTTCTTCCTTTTGGAGTCATTGATATGAATTCATCTATGACAATATAAGTCATTGTCAAACCTTCAAGTTGAATGAGTTTTCACGGTATATATGAAATTGAAGCAAATAATATTATAAAAAAAAGTGACTATATTTAATGATACCTTTATAATTGAGCAACCATTTGTCATGATTTTGGTGGACAATTATATTAATTTCCTACGTATAATTTCAAGCTGAAACAAAAATATTCATATACAATCTAAATAATATAAAAAAAAAATATTAAAAAATAAAAAAGAGTCTATTGTACTAGGAAGTCATTTTCAAATTCATGCATCAAACAAGTTCAAAAACAAATTAAATATACAAAAAAAAAAAGTTGTTTTGGCCACTCTCAATCAATCAATCAATCCAAAGAAACCAGGAGCTAACAAATGTTTTCAGTGGGCCAACTAGTTAACGATTAAAGTAGTTAAATAACATGAAGGAGTCATTTTCCATATTTAAAAAATTTATTTTGTTTGGTTTTAACAGAAAAAAAACACAAAGAAACAAAAAAAAGAAAAAAGTATACTATTATTAAAGCATTATAGAGATTTGACAAGTTGTCCATTTCCACATAGAAAGGCAAAGTTTGAAAGACTTGTGTCTTAAAGTTGGGTAGGATATTAGTCGATTCTGACTCAGATGAGAGTGAAATAACCACAGAAAATCACTTAATTATTAGTTTAAGTCTACATCAATAACTCTTATATATACTTTAATCTATTTTTTTCCTATCTTCTCACATCCTAATGAAAAGTGTGACATTCATATTTTATTTTATTCTTTGAATCAATTAACTTAGACTTTTAATTTGGGTCCACTTAACTACCTACTAACTGATTCAGTTTTCGCTCCTTTTCCTTGACTAATTCAATCAAGTTGAATTAAGAATATTAATAATATAAGTTAAACATGATTAACAAACTCTAATGATATTTCCAACAGTCACACATGACACATGCACTTGGTTGATACGTTATCTATCACTAGTGGATTTCATAATATGAATATGATTAGTATATAGATTGACAATAATTGCATTTAGGTAAGTTCTAAGAAAAAGACTTGATGTATCATAAATATTCATTCATTAAAAATATCCAGCCAAATTAATTGGATTTCTTCATCAAGAAAATGGCTTATTATGTAGAGTAATAATTAAGATATTAAACTTTTAAGATTCAATAAAATGTCAGTATTAGGGTTCAAAACTCTAATTTTCGCAGAAGAAACAAAACATGGTGTGGTTGACAACAAAAGAGGCTTTTGATTCCAGAAAAAGAGAAGGCTGGAGTTGTTTTATGTAACAGAAAATGACAAGTAAAGGTTGGTGAAGTAGTTAACACCAACCACAAACTCGTTAAAAGTCATAATTGAAAATTAAAAAGAAAAATTAAAAACCAAATGAAAAAGTATAATAAACACAAGAATACACGTGTCATCTATTAAGCAACTGGACTTTTGATCTGTTGAAATAAGAAAAACCAAGAGAGAGTTAAAGATACGCTAAGTTAAAAAAGACACAATTGACTTTTAAAACCAATTAAAATATTATAGAATCAATTTTTGTCTTTATTAAATCACTTTTTTTTATAAATCAGTTCAATTAATAGTTGTGCAGAAACATTACATAAAAAAAAGCGCGAATTCGAATAAAAAAAGAGATTTCACGTAAACGAAACCATTGATGCAAAAAGCTTAGACTGGACATGGGTTGGTGGGTGGTGAAGCATGAAACCAAACATCCTAGTACGACAAACTAGTCAATCTAATATAATTACTAGATTCTTCCTTTAGACGTGTAAATTATATATGTCTTGTACAAAAGCAATTGTTGAGGTGTCGCTCAAAGAATCAAAGATCACGTTCACCTTTTCCTTGAAGAGATGCTTAACAGAATATACAAGATACACCTAGCTACTACTATAAAATTATTTTACAAAAATATTATTTATTGCTAAAAAAAGAATTAGAAGAAAAAGAACAACTTAATATTTTTTAATTAAAAAAAAGACAGAGGATTCAATTATTAGACAGACAAAAGAAAAAAATCAGACATAGAAAGAGCATACAGGATTTGTTTTCTGTGTGCTCTATTGAATCAACAGTTTTCTATCACTGGCCTAATGTTTTTGTCTGTGTCTATCTCTATGCTAAAAAACAACAAATCTAGGGATTACAATTTTATAGGTTCTGAACTCTTAAATCTTTTATTTACATTCAACAAACCGACAGCAGCAGCAGAAACACACAGACAATTCATATGAAGAGAAAACAAAACAGTAACTCTTTTTACGATAATTTGCCTTGGAAACAAAAAAGTATCTGTAAAATTATCTCAAATTTAATGAAAGAAATTTGAAGCCAATAAAATCCTGTTTTATTGCACTTGTTTTAATTTATAATTCTGTTATCTTATCAGTGTTGTGGTGTAAATAGAAAGGTGAATAATTAAGGGGAGTAGAGAAAGAAAGTAAGGAAAAATATAGGTTGACACGAGAAGAAAAGTGTGTGGAGATAAGAGTAGTGTGTCAGCATAGAGTGGCCAACATAAGACAGATATAGAATTTTGCGACGATTCATAGGACCGACTTTAACCGTTTTATGTCCTTTCAATCAATCTTACACCTACAAGAATGTCTAGAATAACTCATTTTAGAAATTTCTTTATGTATAAATAATACTACTTCTAATCATATTTATAAAAAATATTTTACTTTTAGATTCATTCAATATGAAATATATTTATATTTTGTTTAAATACGATACTTTTTCAGTTTTCAAAATAAAATCGTTTTAATAAAAAAAATTAAATTTTCAATGAAACATAATTAATTGATAAATTTTATCTCTAATACATATTGTCTATATTATTTTCAAAAAATTAAATTATACTATACTTTTATGACAACAAATACTAATTAAGAACAATTTTATAAAATTATTATATTTAATTATTTAATTATCATTTTTTTTAAATTATGTGCAACAACCTAAAAGACTTTTGTTTTAAAACGTATAAAATACTTATTTGATAAATCTAAAAAGCAAATTTTTTATTATAAATAAAATCAAAGAAGTATTCATTAACGTTTACTTTTAATTAAAAGTATAAAGGCTTTGAATATAAAGATTATAGTATGAAATTTATTCAAATATTTTTATTTTTTTAAATATATTAATATTCAATGTATTTGGACTAAATAATAAATAGTATATTAATTATTCAATATATTCTAAAATTGTTTTATTTTATAATAAAAATTTAATAGTATTGTCGGAGAGAATTAGTCTATAAGTCACTCCTTTATATTTTATTAATAGTCAATATATACATTTTATTATTAAAGATAACATGTAATATTATTTTTATATATAAAATATTATTCTTTTACTATTTTAGTCCAATTACAAACAAAAGTTTATATAGAAAATAATATATTTAATTTAAAATTTAGATCGTGTATGTATCTAAAAAGAAAATATATTTTTATTTATTTATTCAATTTACCTTATTTTTTATTTTATATATAATTTAAAAAAGAATTACTATATGAATTTAGTATTTTACAAATATTTTAACAAAAGAATATATTTCTTTTGTTCCAATAAAGAGATCTTTTGTAAAAACTTCATAGCAATAGTTTCTCCTATTATTTATTCTTTTATACATTTTCTTCAATTTTTGTAAAATGATTAAATAGTTTATAATGAAACGAAGGGAGTAAAATATAAATTTAAAATATTTGGTGTAAGACAAATAAAAAAACTTGTTTGAAGATTGTTTCATAAAGTTATATCTCTACTGCTTTCTTTATTTATTTTACAATTAAAAAAATCATAAATATTACTCACTCCAAAATAAAAGATTAAAAGTTAATATTAGTGGTCTCAAATTGGAAAACATATTCTATTTTCAATTGAATTTAACTATGATTTGAAATGGGTGAGAATCAATAATAGCCCATGGGCCCAGCTGAATAACACGTGTACGGTCCATATCTCTGACGCACAACACAAGACCTCCCCCCACTAGCTAAATAAAGCCCAAAAACAAACTTCGCCATATTCTCGGCCCGTGAAGCGGAAGCGAATTCATACACGCGCCAAAATCGAGCGCGTGGAGAAAAACACCGAAAACCAAACAAAAAAACGAATTCCAACCGCTTTTCTCTTTTCTCGTGTGCAACTTCTTTTCCCATAAATGAAACAAAAACCCATAATTATTTTTTAATAATTTTAAAATTTTTAAAACAAAAAACACAAAAGAGTGAAGTAATGAAACTAGATACGTGACTTAAAGGGAATCAAAATCAACCCTTCAAACAAAAAGAACACAGAAGAAGAATCAGGAAAAAAAATACTCTAGCTGAAGCTTACACAATTATGATCTCACACCGACAATAATTTTGCATTATTTAACTATTAACATACGTTGGAAAAATAAAATAAAATGTTATCGTAACTGCTAAGAATACAAGAAATGAATGACATGCAAGGAAATGAAACGGCCAAGTTCATAGAAATTGGACAGGTGGAATAGAATAATGACAATGTAATGTAAGCAAAACAAAAAGATGTTACATAGAACAA